TTTGAGAGTGTTATCTATAATTGTAATATATGATTAGTTTTTAAGTCTTTTAATATCTTAAATATATATAAAATATATTTAATATTTATTTTGATTAATATTTTATATAATTTTAAAATAATAAAAAGATATAAAAATTAAAAATTAGAATACTGAGAAATATTGTCCAATGAAATCTAAATTACTAAAAAATGCAATTTGAAAAATTGAAAAAGGATGATATGTGATTAGGCTTTGGAAGGTTGTTAATTAATGTTAATTGGGACAGCGCAAACATCTGAAATGTGTCCCATAAAGAGCCCATAACTTATGAAAGTGTATGAAAGTAAAATGACACATTTGAAAGGGATGAGTCTTAGGGATTGAAATTATTGGCTCTCTCCAAGGGAGGAATATCAAACCGTCACTCATCCTCCAACATCAACCACACCTAACCAAAGTTTCCTCCTTGGAGAAAAACCCTAACCCCAAAAACCCTCAATCATTTAAATCATCCCTTCTTTGCTTAGGATATTCTTCTTTGATTTCTAATTTACAATATATAATTAATACTCTCATCGTCATCCTCTTCTTCATGACGTGTGGATCACATGTTCTCCGACACCTTCAACTCCGCGTAAATTTAGGGTTCTTCTAGAGAATAATTAATCAAAAATTTTCTGTAATTTTTTAATTGATGCTTCTTTAAACCAAAAGTAAGAACCATTCTCTCAATGACCTTCTTTGACTATAAGCAAAAGTTTCATTACGCGTAAATTACTATTGGTTCTGACAAGATATTCAACACCGTCCTTATAACATTACTGTTGAGTTCGCGTGGTGCCACATAAGACCGGTATACATAGTTAATTAATCGCGAAAATGACCTGCCAACTGATTATATATGCCACTAACCTTTTACACAAGTTATACCACCCCCAACTTGGAGTTGAAAGGATATATATTTTTAACGTTTTACTAGCAAGTTACATCAAACATGTTAATATTGGATCGAGCTAGCTAGCCATAAGGTTTTCTTCTTCTGTCACATTTAAAGTGAAATTGAAGTTCCATTATTTCATTCCAATTGGTTTTATATATACGTGTGACCCCAGTCCAGTCATGGTCTTTTCTATATGCTACCCCCTAGTGAAATTATTATGACAAATATCCTTTTCTCCATATTTCCATTATTATTGCCTTTCTAACATTATTCTCTCCTTCCCAAAGACAAATTTTTGCTGAAAAAAATTATAATTTCCAAAATTCCAAAGTAGATTGTTTATAAGTTGGCAAAAACTCTTATAAAGCCCCCAACTTATCCCAAAATAATATTTAAACCCCTAAACTAAAAACGAAACAGATAAACTATCTATCTTCAGTAATGATAGAAATAAGCCATTCTCATTTATAGGTGTTCATGCTTTCAAGGTGATATCAAACATGAAATGCCACTTGACTCATTTGTGAAAGGATTTATTTGTATCATTAGTGGAGTTGGAGGGTTTATTTGCTTCATATTTAGTTTAGGAGTTTAAATGTTATTTTGAAATAAGTTTAGGGGTTTAAGAAGGTTTTTGCCTATTAAGTTCGTTAATTATTTGTATCCATGATGGGTCTGATGTCTTTCATCATTAGTGGGTCCCAAGACCAAGACCATGGACAACCTGTTGGCCCACTTTTGCATCAATCCAAAATTTTCTCATTTGTTTTAAAATTTGATCAACAGATAGCTAGGACTGCTGCCATTAGTTAATTATTAAGTACCCGATCGAACTTCTAAAACACCTTTAGTGTATGTTACTGTTTTTGGAGTAAAGAAGTTAAACTTTAACTTAAATGACACGGCAGATTATTTGTAAAAGCAAGATAAGCTTCGCCGGCTTGATACTCGGGTAATTAGCAGAAGAGGTGATTATGTTCGATCTAATCTAATTTATCCAATTCAAATTGATCTAATTTAATTAAAAATTAACCTCAACCGATGTAAAATTAAGTTGATTTAAATTATAAAATTATAAAATTAATATAATTGATTTAGTTTGTAATTTTATTTTTAAATTATCTAAATTATGTAATTACAAAATAAAATTTGACTATAATATAATTTAATTAAATAATATAA